ATATATATATATATATATATATATATATATATGTCTATATAAAGATATATGTCTATACATTCGCATGAATACACTGTATATATTAGTAATAGTATGGTGTGTACATTGCTGATAAAGTTGAGGAACAGAGTACTGAGTATTTGTTTATTTGTTTGTCTTTGCTTTTTTTTTGTTTTTCTCAGTTCTTGAAAAAGCATTTTACTACGACAACAGAGAAATGATATCCAAAAGCAAAAGCGCGATACAAAAAGCATTTGATGCCTGTAAGAAACATATAAACCTTTATTATTTATAATAATATATATGCATAATATATATTTAATATTATGTATGCGTATATATATATATATATTTGTATATATATATATATATATGCATTGTATATGACTGCTTTGTAACACCAACAGTTTCTAAACTAATAACATATTTATTTGATTAAACAATAAGACTAATGTATTAATAATAATAATAATAATAATAATAATAATAATAATAATACTGATTGTTTGTTTATTTGGTGTTGCTGCAGTCGCAAGAAGAATAACTGCTTTAGCAGGCAAAGCATCTGTCTCTTTCTCTGAAGCAACAACTATTTTTGAAGCTATTCAAAAAGATGTTGCAGCGCAAAGACCTCGAAAATGGTACAAGAGGGAGCCGCCTATTAATAAAAAGAATTTATTTAGAGTTGCTGTCATTCTCTTTCTTAAAAGTAAGGCTATATTATCAATGTATTATATGTAAATATTTATATAGTTATATGTTTATGCATATATTTATATATATATGTTTGTTTGTATTTATATTTAGATATATTTATTTTTTTCTCATATTTATGTTTATCTGTATTTGTGTATTTATGCGAATTTGAATCCTCTCAACGCCATCGTGTATATATAATACAATATATACATGATAATACAATATATTATAATTATTATATATATATATATATATAGATATATGCATATTACAACCTGTTGGTTTGATTTACATACCTTTGTATATTTATGCATAGGGATATATACAGAGCAGTCTGCTATCCTTTGTCTCTGCGTTTGTTGATAAAACAATAGCAATAAACAAACACTGATGATTATTTGTGGTGATAATACCCTCTACATATTAATTAATTAATCAATTTATTTATTTATTTATTTATTTATTTTGTTGTTTAGGTAGACTGGCATGCGACATGCGAAGTTCTTTTGCTGAGAAGTTTGAGGCTTTCACTCAGTTTTTATTTAAATCAAGAGAAGCAGGAGGAAGACGTCAGCCTGCTCTTCAGCGCTCATTACTTGCATTCTTTAGAACAAACAAAGCTCAAAGTTTCTACGCTATGTGTTCCTTCGACCCTCTCTCTCTCAGCTACCTCTTCCTATACAGATTCGTTCTTATGGGCAGCGGTAAGATATAATATATATATATATATATATATATATATACATATATCTATATATATATATATATATATTATGTATATATTTTTTATATATGTACATATATATATATTGTATATATTTTCATATATGTACATATATATATATATATACACGTGAATATAAAGGATGTAATAGTTGTAATAGAATAAATGCGGCTATATTTGTTGATGGGGATTGTTTATTTATTTATTTATTTGTCTGTTTATTTATTTATTTTTTATTTATTTACACGTGTTTGATTTGTTATAATAGACTACGTATACTGCAATTATTATTAAGATTTCTCTTGTTATTGTTAATAGTATTATTATATTGCATATATAAGATATAAATAACTATTTATTATTATTATTATTATTATTATTATTATTATTATTATTATTATTATTATTATTATTATTATTGATTCCTCTGCTGCTGAAGAAGATATTATTACACCTCTCTTGTTAATAATACAATTACTATCTGTAAATAACAATTATTATTTGCATGCAGATGCTGGAAGGACACATGATAAACAACACGCTGCTATGAGTCGAACGCGACTGAGCACGAGGCTTCTGGGCTCAAAGTGGACGCCTTCAATTCTTAAAAGTGTTATGATGGGATTCAAAAGAAAATCTCTTGTTCAAACTGCTAAACAATGTACGTAGATATCACTAAACAATTAATAGAAGAATAATAAACAAATACTTTTCGCCTGGTCTCTATGTATATATATAAATACATATATATATATATATATGTATTTATATATATATATATATATATATATATAATGCCTGAAAGCAATTATTCATTCATATATGCATGCATGCGTATGCTGTGTTTGTGTGTTGATAGTTTGTATGTATGAACAGCGTATGAATTTGTATTATTTGGTGTGTGTTTAATATAAATTTATTTGTATTTGTTTGTGTATGTATGTATGTATGTATGTATGTATGTATGTATGTATGTATGTATGTATGTATGTATGTATGTGTGTGTGTGTGCTTGCATGCATGCGTTCAGTGTTGTTAGAAAGCCTCGACCCTTCGATATTATCTTCATTATTAACTTCTTTTGATTGGATTGTGCATACACAAGCGACACTGCAAGTAAACCAAAGTGCTTCGATGTATCATGACTTAGAGGCCCCTTCTCAGCAGTATAAAACAACTGGAGAGAAGAAAGAAGGGTATAGATTATCAAGCGGCGGCTTAGTAAAAACTACAGATAAACAATTAGAAGACTGGGCTGAGTACGGTATCCCTGCATCATTATCAAGAAAATTAAGAAGAGGCGAGAAGCTTCCTAAGTCTGTAGCATTTGAAAAAATTGCAACGCCGGACTTAACGAAGTGGGAGCAGCAATTAAATAATAAGTGGTTGGATGCTCTAAGTGCATATTTAGAGCATCCTTATGGTCGTGCTGCTCTTGCTGCAAGAGATCCTGTAGCTCTTTTAGTAAAAGAAAGTAAAGATAGACTTGAAGCTGAGGTTGACTCAACCATATTCTTAGGAAGAGTTGTTAAAGTGCCGAGGATGTCAAAATTCAAGAAAGCTATGAAAGCAATAAGCAATTTCTTTCGAGCAATTCTTAGAGCTCCTGAACAAAGTGAATATGCTGTTTGGATGGGTGTTAAGGTAAATGTTGATAAAGTGCTTGCTGTTATGAAAGCAGTAAATAATGCTGCTGAGGTTGCAAAGAGTTCTGGAGTCTATGAACATATAAGAGAAGCTTTCCTCGAGATTGTTAAAGACTTTGTAATGGGAAACCTTGATTCACATGTTCGTATTGTTGGATATGATACATTTGCTGCAATAGATGAACAGCTAAGAACTCAAGGGTATGCTGCTGCAAATAAAAGAAATCACGGTTTCCTTGCTATTCATCCAGATTATTCAAATATGAGTGAAGCAGAGAGAAAAAGAGAGTTTCAACTCAGCATGTGTATGGATCACTGCGAGTCTGTTTGGTCTTTAATTACCTCTTTAGTCCTGACTAATCTGCAGAACCCGAAGAAACTAAAAGATTATGAAACTGAAATGAGCAAAACAAAGGCTATTGCAGCTCTTAACGATCCTAATCGTGTGAATGCTTTCCGGTTTGGTTTGAACGTTCAGACAGATTATTTTGAGAATTTATTAGATAAAGGTTCACGAGAAAACATCAAAAGAATGAAGTTTGGAGGGGGAACATGGTTTGCTTACTCTTTACTTCTTGCTGGACGTATCAATACTGCTATGGGGATGCCTAACTTAGGAACAACTCTTGTTTATCAAGCTCCTTACTATGGAAACTTTATTCTTCGATGGATAAAAGAAAGAAGAGAAGCCCGAAAGAAAGCTCTATTTGCAATGTTAACCCTTGGTTTCTTCTTTGCATACACATTCCTCTCTGTTTCAGATATTACTCAGCATCTTAATGACTCTGGCTTAGGCCCTGCAGTTGATTGTCTAGAAAATCTTATTGTTGGGCCTATATGTCCTGCTGAAGTCATTGCTCCTGCAATAACAAGTGCAGCAACAGCAGCAGCACAAGATGTATTCAAAGTAGGTTTGCTGGGGCTTCTAACTCCTTATCTTGTCTGGCCGATGATGCTTATCAGTGTCTGGCAGATACTCAAATCTGAGTTTAAAGTGTTGCTGCAATTCGAAATGTCTGTTAAAAGCCTCTTTACTCGTTTCTCTCGATGGGCTAAGCAGCCGTTTACAACTTGGTGGCAGAAAAGACGAAGAATGAAAGAAAGCATTATGAAGAATGCTTCAGATAAATATGAACAAGAGAAGATTAAAAACAAAGGTAAAGAGCCTCAAGCTAGAGATTTCATAGGGAGATTAGATACAGGTGCTGCTGATTTAGATATCCTCGGACTTCCATCTTCTCAACAGCAAATAAGCTATGAAATTACTTGGGGAGGCCCTGTATTTCCTTACAGTCCGCCTTTGATTCAAGCTTCTTCATCAGGTCTTTAAATATATCTCAAGGCGCTGAAAGCAATAGTATTATTACTATTGGCACTCATTAACCCTATTAATCTCTTTATTATTATTGTCTTTATTCTGCTATCTTTAAAAGGAGTATACACCTTCAACTACCTACCTCTCCTTATTTTAACTTCAATTTATTTTCTGCTCAAGCAAACAAATCGCTTTACCCAACTCTGGCCGTTTTAATTTCATTTTCACAAAAAGTGCATACATTTATTTATACATATATTTCTTTATTTATTTATTTTTTATTTATATTTATTAATAACGCTACACGTATATATACGTATTGCGTTATTTATATAAGTAAAATATATATATCTGTAGGTGTCAATATAACTAGAAATATATATATATATACACCTATATATATATATA